CCAATGCTCTCATGTATCTTAAATTAGAAGGTAGATAACCTCACCTATGGATTGAACAAAGAGAACTGTCAATTAACCTGAATAATCCAATTGAGTCACCTAAAAACAAAAACAAGCACAATGCGGGATCTTGATAAAGCATGAACATAATTAACAAACAAGTGCCTGTTTGACCTGAATTAATTATTACTTAAATATCAGGCAACGGCAAGTATAGCCCGTGCAGCATCAAACTTGACCAGTAGAGGTCGACCTTGAACATGCAGTATGACCCCAACATACCGGTATTGAATTGACAGGTTTAATGAGTAACAGAATACTCCAATGTAGTGACAACCAGAAGCACTAACAACTGAATTTATACAAATGATCCCTACGCCGACAAAACTTTAAAACGTGACCTAAGTACATATAATAAAGCAGGAATACATACATACTTAAAACCCTATCACTCCATACCACCATAATAGCCATAAACCATTTAAATATCATATCAATTAAAACATATTTAGCGAGCATCTACTTTATCCGATTGATACATCCATTGACAGACATGAGAATTGAGTGGTTCGTGTAGTATGTCCAGTTCGTGTCTACTAATTAGTACCTAAAGTACTAGTGTAGGGGAGGTAGCACAGCTGATTTTGAACAAATCGAGAAGGATAGTTTGAAACGCGGGCGTTCGTATGTTTAATCATATGTGAGTTGCAGAGTCTCACTGCGGTTTGTGTGATTGTGCGGCTTTCGTTAAAATTTGTGCATTAGTTGTGAGAATTAGGTAACGTATTTTGTGGAGTTAGATAATGGAACAAGTGATACATACATATGACAATATAAATGCAGAACAAAGTGTACAAGGCCCGAAAGGCTAGGTTACACACGATTGTCAGTCTCCCACTGGCGGGCTCTGATGGGTCAGTTCGCGGGACGAACGACAATACTTACAGCAGTCAGCTTGTTTGAATCAAATCGTTCGCAAGGACCAAACCGTTCGAGAAAATCTTCTCCCGAGGTTGGCTTCCTTACCGCCTTGACCTGGATGTAGACCACCGAGACTACGGCTTCCTTCGAAAATACGGCTACAGGTAGGGGAGGACCAGGTAAATGTTCACCCATGTAGAAGGTAAGTAAAATGGCGATTTGTACCGATCAGAAGTCACAGTATGCAAATCGCCAGACTGAGCGATAATGAAGAGCAGTCTGGCATCCTTAAGAAGAGAAATCAAACCCCTCCCATAACTTCAGGCCCAGCCCTCCCCCTCCCTCTCCCTCTCTCTCTCTCTCTCTCTCTCTCTCTCTCTCTCTCTCTCTCTCTCTCTCTCTCTCTCTCTCTCTCTCTCTCTCTCTCTCTCTCTCTCTCTCTCTCTCTCTCTCTCTCTCTCTCTCTCTCTCTCTCTCTCTCTATATATATATATATATATATATATATATACATACACACACATATATATATATGTATTAAGGTCGTTTGGCCTGTAATTGTGGGAGGGGCTTAAGTTAACTCACTCCCCTATATAAGGTTATCCTTACCAATCAAGGTCAGCTTCTGAATGAGGCACTTTTGGAATACCTGTGCTGCTTTCCCACTAGGTCTTCCATGCTGAGCTGTGTCCAGGAATTCTGCTACAGGCTTTTCCATCTGACCAGCTTCTTTTCATCACCGCAGATAACGTCCTAGTGACTCACAAACCGTAAGCTGACCTACCCGTTACGCCAGGCAACAGTCCCACGGCATCAATCAGGGGCCGGGTCCACACTTTACGGTCACTTGTTGTTTTCTGCTATCAAATTGTTTTTATGAAAAACCATCCGTATAGCTTGCTGGTCGTATGCTTAATTATCATGCATTTTATGTATCTTGCCCGCAGGGCTGTCACATAGTCCTGAACGGGATCCAGCTGAGCTATGATCCTCCGTTTGTGCGCTCAACCGCACGAACTGAGTTTATGCATTGCTTTGTTTTTTTTGTTTTGTTTTTTTTTTGTAAATATCTTTTTATTAAACCTTTTCGTTTTTGTTGATTTTGCAACATGTCAAAGAGAAACGTGGACTCGCAGGTCCCTCTGGTCATTCACAGAAGCTTATACATCGGAAGGCATGTGATGACATACGTGTCTGGGCGACTCGCAGGTCGCTTTCTTGAGTAAATAGCATGTGTATTGTGGACTCGCAGGTCCAGTGTTACATGGTGGTGCTTAGTACTCTGTTATATTTGATATGTACCATTTCTACGTTGGGTGGTTTTGCATGCCCCACCGTGGTTGTGTTTTGTTTGTCTATTCCCCATGCCTACCCTGTAGCCTCTAGGCAGTAGTGAGACATGTGGCCATCTGGTGTGTAGGGTCCCTTCAGGACGCGCAGCCCCCCAGTGACCTTGTGTCCAGGGTCCTACCTGGCCATATTGTGGGGTGTTGGCCCCCTGCCTTAGTATAGTTTGGTTCTGCCCAGCGGCATAGGTGGTGTTGGTGGGAATAACCTAAGGGGCATCCTGCGACTCCCTCCAAACTAATGAGCTTTATAGCTCACAAAACAGGCGCTCTTCCACCCCCTTTACTCGCGAGGCCGCAGTCTGCCCCGGGCCCTTCAAGTGGTCGCACCCTAGCGGGTGTCGCGGCCCTCCCCACACGCCCAGGGGTGAGGTATCGCGTTTTGGGCCAGGTGTGGATCGTCACGCTAGTCTCCCAGCGTCTCCTCCTGGGGATTATTGGTTCCTTCCCCCATGGTCAATTGCATAGTCCGAAATGCCTCTGTACCCACCCGTGCCAACCAGGGTGTCCATGTGTCTAAGTATGTCTGCGTTCGGTCTTGGGCTGAATACCAGATCTCCTCTGTGACTCGTAACTCCTCCATTCTAGTAAACCACAGGGAGAGTGTTGGGGTCGTGTCTTTTTTCCAGTACAAAGGTATTAGGTGTTTTGCGACGTTAAGGATTCGGATGGTCAGGGAGTGTTTGTAGCGTGATGTGGGGGTTGTCGTGTGGTGTAGGAGGCACGGGGCGGGCTGGAAGGGTGGGACATTGTCCGTGAACATGGCCACCATGGCAGCTATTTGCTCCCAGAACGGTACTATAAGTGGGCATTCCCACCATATGTGAAGAAAGGATCTCACCCCTCTCTTGCACCTCCAGCAGAGGCCATCCGCGTCCAAGTACATTCTCTGTAAGCGTTCTGGGGTCAGGTACCATTGTGTGAGAACCTTGTAGGCAGTTTCCTGGGTTTTGCTCGTGATTGCGCAATGGTGCACTAGATCGCAAATCTTGTGCCACTGGGTCTCGGTAAATGTTTCCCCCACGGCAGTCTCCCATTTGGACATGAAGGGGGGTGGGGGGTGTCCCTGTTGTCGTTGTAGCATGGAGTAGAGGTAGGAAATGCTATGGGGCATGGGCTCCGGGTCATGGCACAGCTGTTCGAATGGCGTAAGGTCCCTATATACGTCGGGATGTTGTGGTATAGCAGTGATGTAGTTCTTAATTTGGGTGTATCTAAATTTCGTCAAGAAGGGCTGGGTGGGTGTGCCCATGAGCGACTGAAGGGAAACGATTTTCTCATTGGTGGTCATGTCTCGGAGTCTGGGTATGGTTTGAGGGAGGACGCAGTGGAGGCTCCCCGGTCTCATCCCTGGTTCAAACTCCGGGTTGTACGCCAGAGGCAGCAGCGAGGATGGGAAGGAGGAGAGGCGTAGTTTCCTCGCCTGTGAGTGCCATACGGTGAGGGTAGCGGTGATGAAGGGCTGTTGGTGGACTAGCCGCCTACCAATCAGTGGGTCCAGCCACAGGAGGGCTGAAAGGGGCCTGCCTGCATGGTGTGTTTCGATAGCCTTCCAGGGTTTGCTAATCCCCTCTTTTGCCCATTCCATGGCCCGTTGCATGTGACATGCTTGGTAATACAGTTTGAAATCAGGAACGGCCAGTCCTCCTGCTGTTTTGGGGAGTGTGAGTTGTGTGTACTTGAATCTGGGTTTAGTACCCTTCCAGATAAATTTCATGAGGAGGGTGCGGAGTGCGGAGAAGAAGGTGGTAGGGAGTTGGAGTGGTAGTGTCTGGAATAGGTAAAGTACCCGTGGGAGGATGTTCATTTTGGCAATGGCCACCCTGCCGAGCCAGGAGAAGTGAGGTGTGGCCCATTCTGTCAGATTCTTCCGTAATGTTGCCATCAGTGGGGTGAAGTTCATATGGTAAAGTTTGGATAAGTCGGCCGTGAGCTTCACCCCCAGGTATTTTATAGCGGTGTCTTGCCATTGGAAGGGAAAATTTCGTCGGATTTGGCCTGCCCTCTTCTGGGGGAAGGCAATGTTAAGTATAGAGAATTTAGCGTAATTGATCTTAAGGTTGGCGATTTCGCCATATGTCTTTAACTCTGCCATAAGGTTTGGGAGGGAGATTTCTGGGTTCGTTATAAAAAATAGCATATCGTCTGCATATGCTGCGATTTTGTGGTGGTCTGCCTCCACCGCCACCCTCGAGATATCTGGGTTGTCCCTTACCGCTTGTAGGAAGGGCTCCAAGGTCAGGATAAACAGAAGCGGCGACAGAGGGCAGCCCTGCCTGGTTCCATTCCTGACCGGGAATGCGTCTGTATAGACCCCATTTATGCACACCCTAGCCGTGGGGGACGAGTAGAGGGCCTCTATCCACTGGCGCATGTGGGTCCCCAGGCCAACATGCTCCAGTACCGAGAACAGGTAGTCCCACGCCACCCTATTGAAGGCCTTCTCCGCGTCCGTAGAGAGGAGGAGTGGCCTTTCGAGGAGCGCTGTGCGTGGTGGATCAGGGAGAGGGCCCGGACCGTATTGTCCCGGGCTTCCCTGTGGGGGACGAATCCCACTTCGTCAGGTGAGATTAAGTCTGGTATGTGTGTTTTAGCGAATAGGCGTAGGTCGCAGTTAAGCAACGATATCGGTCGGTAGCCCGTGCACCGTTCGGTATCTCCCCCCTCCTTTGGCAGCAGGACAATATTGGCCGCTAGTGTTTGCTGGGGGATAGTATTTCCCTCTGTTATAGAGTTGAAGGCCGAGATAAATTGGGGGGACAATGTGGCCAGGAAGGTTTTATAGTATTTGAGAGGGAGGCCGTCTGGGCCTGGGCTTTTGCCGGTCTTCGAGGATTTGATGGCTAGGGCCAGTTCCCCCTCCGTCAGGGGCGCCTCCAAAGCCTCCGCTGCGTCTGAGGAGAGTTTAGTTTTAGTGTATTTAGTGAGGTATGCGTTCATGCGGGTCGGTCCCACGTTAGGGTCCGCCCGAGGGGCGTGGGGGGGAATCGCGTAAAGGTCCGTGTAGAAGCGGGTTACAGCTGTAGCGATTTGATCTGGCATGTGGTGTAGTTGGCCTGCGGCGTCGCGCATACGTGCAATATATGTCATGGAGCATTTTTTGTTGATCATTCTGGCCAGCAACCTGCCGCACTTATCCCCTTCTGTGTCGAAGAATGATTTAGTGCGCTGGGGGGCCCTAGTGTACGATTGCCGCAGGGTCCGTGCTAGTTCTTCACGGGCTGCTGTGAGTTCCCCGAGAAGTGTGTCGTCTAGTGTTTGCTTGTAGGCCTGTGTTAGGGTCCCTATCTTGGCCGTTAGTTCTCGGATCGTGTGGTCCTGTGCCTTCTTCAGGGCAGAGGAGTGTGAGATGAGAATCCCTCTCATCACACACTTGTGGGCCTCCCATGTCAAGAGGGGGGATGTGTCCTGTGGTAAGTTCTCGGTGAAGTAGTTCATCAGGGCTTGTTGTACGTCTTGGGCCACCTGCGGGTTGGATAGGAGGTTTTCGTGGAGCCGCCATGTCGTGGTTTTGGGTTTGTGTAGTGGCGATGTAAGTTGGATCGTGAGTGGTGCGTGGTCGGACCACATGGACCCCCCATGGCAGAGTCCCGCAGTCTGGGTAGATAGTAGTATGGCAGAAAGAAGTAGTCGATGCGTGTGTAACAGTCATTCGGGGTTGAGTAGAAGGTGTAGTCCCTAGCTGTCGGGTGTGTCGCCCTCCAACAATCTGTAAGCCTGTACTGATGGAGAAGTTTACGAATTTTAAGCAGTGTGGGGGGGGGGTGTCGATGAATGGCCCCTGGATGCGTCCATTGTCGGGTGTAGAGCAATGTTGAAGTCCCCACCCAGGACTAGACAGCCCGTCGTGAAGTCGTGGAGGGCCCGGAGTGTGTCCCGGAGGAATCTGTCCTGTCGTGTGTTTGGGGCGTAGATGTTGGCAAAGGTATAGGTTTCCTCCAGGATTTTACCCCTAACGAATACGTATCTGCCCAAGTTATCAGTCATGGTCGAGTCAGCTACAAAGGGTATGGATTTGTGTAGGAGTATTGCTGTCCTCCTAGATTTCCCATCTGGGTTATTGCTGTAGAAGCCTTGGATGTATATATGGTTGCAGAGTTTCGGAGCAGCGTTGGTTTTAAAGTGGGTTTCTTGGAGGTAGACCACATGGGCTCTAGTTTTCTGACCAAGGCGTAGCGCGTGTGACCTCTTTTCGGGGGAGTTTAAGCCCTTAGCATTTAGGGATAAGAAGTTGAGTGGGGCCGGTGCGTATTTGGGTGCGGGTGTAGCCATAATGTCAAGTCCCGCGGGTGTCGAAGTTGCCCCGGTCAGTGGGGGCCTAGGTAGGTAGAGCCCGGCCCGGGGGCAAGCGGGGCAGAGCGGGGAAGCGGATGACTCCGCACGATGGAGTACAGAGGGGGCCGCCCTCGCAATGGAGCAGAGGCACCGGTGTCAGGGGGTAGAGATCCCCCGGCCCGGAGACCGGAGTGGGGGATGACCCCCCCTATACAGTAGACACCGACCTTACAGGGAGTGGAAGGCGCCTTGTCAACCCGCCAACAGCGGCGGCTGTGGATCAAAACAAACACCAACAGGTGTAACTTAAACCTGTGAAAACTGCTGTCGCGCCCCGGGGCGAGTCTCCCAGGGTACGGTCGAGTACCAGCTGTAACTGTAACCTGTTGTGTGTCTGCAGGGACTCGCACCCGGGTCCCGACGTTGTCCTGTCTGAAGGGAAGATGTACTAGCCTACCCAGGGCGTAACCCCCTTTCTACTGTGCGGGTGTTTAGGGTGTTGGTGGACCCCCCCTCCCCCAACCCGTTCCCCCTATGCGCATCAGTGTAGCCCCGTGGTGGCGTTTCTCCATCCCTAAAAGTGGTCTGGAAAGCCTGTGTCCCCCCGAATTGCGTCCCGGTTAACGGACCCCCTTGTGGGTTCCCCCTTCGGTGTGGTGGTGGGTTGTGTCGCTCTGGTTGCAACACGTCTCTGGGTTGTGTACGCGGGTGCTCATACCATATTGCGTATAGAACTGTACCCAGGTGTAGCGTGGTCTGGCACCTATCCAGTGTTGCATGCGAACCCCTAGACCCTGGGAACTTGCGCGTGCGCCGACCCTGTGGTATGAGTGATAGCCAGGCGTGGGACGTGCAGGAGCATACGTCGTGTTGTACCCCGTCCCATGGTGCTAGTGGCGTGTACGGGTGTGTGCGCAGGGTAACATGTGTACCAAGGAGCACTGTGTTAGCCTGTGCTGGCAGATCTACACATATATACACATTCACATATATACACAATATATACACAATGGTTCATGTAGTGCAGTATACAAGTCTAACATAAGCAGGCGCATACACCATATTATACAGATATAAAGCAAGGGAGGGTACTAGAGGGGCATGTCCAAAAGGGAGCCCCACGAATAGGAAGACCTAAGAACAGCTCCTAGGAAAAACATATCATGTTATATACAATGCAATGGACAGTTTGAGCATGCGCGGGCGTGCATATGGGGCTATACACCAGCCAGGGAGCAGTATGAGCATGCGCTGACACATTTACAGTGGTCAATGTAATGCAGTGGACAATTGTGGCGTGTGTGGGCGGTTATGCCATGGTACCTGCTCTGCGATGAGCAGTTGTAGTGATGGCAGGAGCAGAAACAGTGGTGTGCAGCGGGGGGCGGGGTAGTCGTGACCTGTGCGTGCGGGTGAGATGCAGCGCCGCGAATAATTATAGCATGCACTGGCACATAAGCGGTGGGCAGTTGCAACATGCATGGGCGCGTGTGCCACAGAGACACAGTGCAGTAGGTGCTCCCAGCGGGCCAGTGTCAACATTGGCGGACATTACCATGTACCACAGTCCCATGGGCCACATCCCCCGACCCGCCCCACCCCATCGGGGCAGACTGCGCCCCCATATCTGGCTGTACGTGAGGTGTGACTCAGCAACTGTCCGCCCGGCATAAGGTGCAGTTCTGTGGAGCGGGGAGACATGGTGCCAATGTGGGGTGTCCAATCGGTAGGTGGGCTAAGTTCATATCTGGAGACAGCGTCTATGTCCTGGAACGGGGCTATTTGTGCCCTAGAGAGGGCCAGGCTGGTGTTGGGCGCATTGTGGGGGGGAAGGGGGGAAAGTCATGCCCTCTAACGGGCGGTACCTGTGGGCCTAGTGGCCTCCTGGCGTCCCCCTAGTGCGTTGCGGCAGCGCCGGTCTTGGGTAGGGGTTTCTTGCGGCGGTGTAGATGTCCAGTGGGTCAGGCCATCTCATGTTGATGGCGGGCAGTTGGAGCTCTGTGCCCAGTGCTATATAGTCGCTGTGTGTGCGGACCAGGAATGGACCCCTCGGCGTGTGGACGAGCAGTCCCGTGGGCATCTGCCATCTGTACCGGATCTGTTGGGCCACCAGGACCCTCGTGAGTGGTTTCAGAGCGCGTCGGTAGGTCAGGGTAGCCGGTGATAAATCTGGAAAGAGTTGCAGGTCTTGGTTCCGGTAGGTGAGCGATTGCCGGCCTCGTGCTTGTTTAAGGATAGTCTCCTTTAAGGCAAAATTCGCTAGGCAGCATATGACATCCCTGGGTGGGCTATCTGGCGCGCCCATAGGACGGAGGGCTCTATGAGCTCTTACAAATTCTATGGGTGCCTGGTGGTCTCGGCCTAGAATCTCATTTAATATTTCCAGGAGGATTTCTTGTAGCTGCTGGGGGGGGGAGTCCTCAGTTTCAGGGAGGCCGCGCAGTCTTAAGTTATTGCGGCGCCCCCTGTTGTCCAGGTCCTCAATAAGTAGGGCCATGCCACGTACCTGTTCTGAGGAGGTGTCTGCAGCCTCTGCTAATGTATGCTGTGCTTCCCTCAGGCTGTCACAGGTTGCCTCCATGTGGCCCACGCGGTCTGACAGGCCCTGCATGTCAGCCCTCAGTGCCTGGATGTCCTGCCGGATTGTAGCTCCCAGGGCTGAGGTGGCTGAGTGGAGATCCTCTTTGGTGGGCAGTGCCCTCAGGAGGTCTGACCAAGGGGGGCGCTCTGTGCCGCTCGTGAGCACGTCTGATGCCGGTGAGGAAGGCGCGGACTCCTCCGACGCCATTGATCCGTCGGCGCCATGCGGCAGTGTTGCGAGGTCTGCGGGGGTAACCAGGAACTGGCGCAGGGACGAGGTGAGTTGTCCCTTTTTGGGCTCTGGGGTCTTCCCTGGCTGTGGGGTCCTATTGGGTCTCCCCATGTCGGCAGTGTAGCGGGTAGGCTGCGGGTTTGGAGTCGGGACCCGGGCGGCGGGAAAGTTTAGGCGGCCATGTTCGTCGGCTGCCAAGCGTTATGCATTGCTTTGTACCTCACATCACACACGTTGGTACTCACGAACGGGTACATTCGTCTCATTTCCACGCATTCTGCCCGTCGTGCATTAGCATACTCGCTTAAACAAATCAGTCACCGTTCGTGCGGTATACACTGCACGAACAAGATACAACCTCAGGGTTTAGATGCACCATGTTACGGTATTCCCTTATTCCGGGCACAACGGGTCACTGTCCCAGTTAAACACGTTACGGGTACCTGGTTAAAACCCTCCACGGGTTCCCTATGCACTCCCTGCCTCTCAAACACAGGTGACACTATAATTACATAATTTACCTCCCATACACTAAGTTAATGGCATTTCTATATACAATCATTACGACCAAAGATACACTGCCACCTACAGGTCACGTTATATAAGCATAATGGGGTTTTTCTTAAAACACTGACCCCAATAGGTAAAAAAAAATAATTAAAAAATCTCTTTTCATGTATCACCCATATGTTAACATACACAAGTTGCACATATATATTACTTTTACAGTAGACAGTTTATTCTCACAAATACTTATTATAAAATTTCTATACATAATATATCATACAATGAACATCTACAAACATATCCCTAACCCATACATTTTCACACTCACCTAAACGAACAAACGGGTAAACATATATAT